TTTCATAGGATCATCTCTAAGATTCAGTGCCATGACTCTAATCTGATTTATCTTTGCCCATCTCTGGTTTCTCTACAACAAAGGTTGTGTTCACTTCAACTATGAGAACAGTATTCAGTGCTTAGCAAGAATACTAGTTCAGTTTAATGAAGTTTGGAGATCTCTGAACTACGCCTGAAAGTGTTTCCCTTTATTGCCGGGTGAACGGAACATGCATTAAGTATGTGTGAACTCTGAATGATTTCATTCTCTAACATGTCTTTTATAAAACTCTTTAGACACTTTGGGCCTTTAAACTTAAATATTACAAATGCTGGGGAAAAGAAATTAAGCAATGCACATGCCATTGTGTGCTTTGATATTTTCTTAGCTTTCTTGAGTAGTTTATTACACAGAATTGTAGCCGTGGGATGGGTAAACAACAGTTCCCAGGATTCTCTGGGATTAGCGATGTACAGGTACTTTAAATGTGCTTTAGCTGTATGGCGTGGGGGCCCCGATCCTCTGAAGAAGCTGGCACCTCTGATGCTGGAAAAGATGGATTCTTACTGTACATACTTTATATTTTGTGCCATTGTTCAGGCTGAAATCCAGCCCAAAGCAATTTGTAAATGCCTGAAATGTCGGTATTTTCACCTTGCCTTCGGGTTGTATGTATGTGAATTTACGAATGATTGCATTAAAATGATAGAAGCAAGTGTAACTCACAGCTGGCCAGGGTGCTATCAACGTTGCGGGACGTCATACTGATATGATGGTCCAAACTCCAGCACACCATTGATTGTGTTGGTCTCCACAACTATAAGGAGAAGGCTGAGTTCGTGCTATTCCTCCCACCTTAGTTCTTTCATTGCCATGTGAAGGAAGCATCCGGTAGCACGACAGATGCACGACATTGTTTCTGGCTGCAATAGTAAAAACTCACCATGCCGTTAGACCCGAGGAGTGTCCTAGAGCCTAGTTGGAAGACATAATCTCCCTTTGGAGGTCAAGAAAATCCCCGCTTTCAAAAGAAGCCGTAACTTGAAACATCCCTCTGCACCAAATGCCTTGCCTATCTGCTGCTGGTGTAAAGATAATGCTACCGTTTGGGGAAGGACCATAGCTCAGTGGCAGGGTACTGGTTTGCATTCAGGAGGTCCCAAGTTCAATCCTCGACTTCTTTAGTTAAAAGGATCAGGTAGTAAGGCATTTTGGGGGGTGGGGAACTCTTTCCAAGACCCAGGAGAGCTGCTGCCAGTCAAAGTAGACAATACAAAGCTAGGTGGAAAACAATCTAACTTGATATAAGAAGCAGTTTCTTATGCTGGATATGCTGCAGCTTCCCCTTGGCTTGCTTGGACCTGGGTAAATGAGAGGGGGAAACTTTTAAGGAATGTGCCTCTCTCTTTCTCAGATGTGCTCCCTCTCTATGCATTCATGTCTCTGAGGCTTAAGATCTAACAACTTGGCGTGGAAAGATGAATAGCTTTTAGAACATTGTGTAGATTGTATTAATTGGGGAGGGAGTAATGGGTTTAGCATATCTGGAACACTTTTTTCTTCTTCTTTTTTAAAGAAAAATGCAGCTTGATTCTTTTTCCCAGGGATTATCATATGCACATTGAAGTAGACAAATCCGTGGAAATGAGAATAATTTTCTGCTTCTCCTAGGCCTACAGTTAAAGTACAGAAATGGCAAAGCTAAAAGCAAACAGCCCAACCTGCTTTAATCAAAGGAGTCTAGCAAGAAACAATCAATTAAAGAACAGTCTGATTCTCTGTGACATCAATGTATGAAAATCTGTTAGACGCCAGATTGTGTCTCAAGACACATATGATGAACTGAACAAAATGACCTGCTAATAGCTTTTACGGGTAATAAATGCATCATGTTATTGGTAATTCTGCAGATGGTAAATCAAGCTAATATCCGAGCTGAAACAAGCTACTTGGTAAATATCCTTCAAAAGTGTTCTTGTAATTCCCTAATTGTATCACATAGAAAACATTATGTCCAATTTAGCCACTTTAAATTAAAATATCTGCTTTCTGTATGCAGGAATTTTATTTTTTTTAGAATGGTTTTACTAAATAAAATACTGTTCCTTTTGGCTTTGGAACCCCTGACTCTCATTCCAATTAACGTTCTTATTTCATTTCTATAAATCCTTTCTATGTAATATCATCAGCTTCTGGCTCTTATATGCATTTTTGAAAGATGTTTTACAAAGATAAGATGATAAGTTGGGATCATGCATTATGTAGTGCTGTGAGAAAAAACGGGGAGGCAGCATGCAGTTTATAAATTATGAGATATTTTGCAAGAGCAGAAGTGAAACATCCTGACCAGATTTTAGCATCTAAAAGGCGTAAATCAGTAAGTTTGGGAGGATATAGTTGAAATATAGGAAACCTGTGTAGGGTGAGGTTTTTTTGCATCATAAGCAGTAAATACCAAAATATCTTTGTTTTATTCTAGGACAGGGGGAACAAATGGTCAGAATTCCCAAAGTATCCTGTGTCTCATAAAATTCACTGAGGTTTGGAAATTCTGCTCCTCCACCCCTATAATCTTGATTTATGCTGTGCTAATGTATGAGGAAAAGACAATTTCATTGCACAATATACAAGCCACAGTCTGTCTTTTCAATACATTTTCTCTTATTCTCTATTTTTTTGTTTTTTAAAAAGAAGAAGTTCATTTTGTTCATTTGCTTCCAGGAGAAAAAAATAATTGGACCTGAAGAGTACCAACTGTTAGTAATCCAAACCATGAGTTATTCAGGTGAAATATACTCGGAGTCGAGTGTGAATTTCATGCTCTTTATTCAGCTCATAGTAGCAATGAATGAAACTTTCCCCAAAACGTCTAGCTATATATATATTATTTACACAATGGGCCCCGCGTGATTGGTTAATTCCGGGCTGCTCCTGTAGGCCAATAAGGTTGCGAATTCACCTCCTCCAGAAGTCTGATTGGCTGCTCCTGCAGGCCAATCAGGTTGCTGATTCACTTCATCCAGGAGCCTGATTGGTTGCTCCTGCAGGCCAATCAGTTTGCTGATTCACTTCCATCTGGAGCTGGATTGGGTGTCTCCTGCGGACCAATCAGACTGCTGCATTCTGGATCCTATTGTTCTAGGATTCATCTCAGTACATAATACCCCTCCCCTCTAAGTTCCAGTCCTCAAGGTTCCTCGTAGTTCTCAAGGTACGCCGGCCGCCTTCGTGTCCTAGTAGACACTTTTCCCGCTTAACCTTGAGGCCTGCCGTCTAGAAACAGTGCAGGACGGTGTGGAGGTGGTCCCCGAACTCCTCTGGTTTGGGCCCAGCGAACAACACAGCATCAAAGATTGGGGTAATGCCAGCAATCCCTTTAAGGAGAGAGTCCATTAGATTCTGGAATATGCATGGCACCACGCTGATGCTGAATTGCAGCTGCTTTACCCTGAATGCTCCTCTGTGCGTCACAATCGTCTGTGCCTCTGCTGTGGCCTTCTCCACCAGCAACTGCTGATAGGCTTGAGCCAAGTCCAGCTTGCCAAAAAATTATGACCCGGTCAGGGTCGTGAGGACATGGCTGACCACTGGCACTGGGTACGCATGGGCCGTGTGGACCTTGTTTATGGTACATTTGTAGTCTGAGCAGATGCGGACTGAACCATTAGGCTGGATGGGTGTGACGATCGGGGTTTCCCAGGAGGCATTAGGCACCGACTCCACAAGCCGGTCCAATTCCTCGTCTATGTGGGGTTTCAAGGCGAATAGGACCCGACGGGTCTTGAGCCTGATGGGTCGTACGGTGGGGTCTAGCTTCTAGGAGGAAGTTGAAACTGGTGGTGTACCCTTCCCAGTTTCCTGATGCTGGGTTGAACAGCGAGAAGCTGGTGTCGGTTGCCATTCTTGGGTCCCGGAGCTTAATCCTGGATGCACGGTGCAATGCAGCATTGTGGCAGGTGGCAGTGCTGCAGTGCTGTGCATGGCAGTCAGCTCAGAGGAATCCCACCTTCATCACCAGTGATATATACTCGGAGTCGAGTGTGAATTTCGTGCTCTTTATTCAGCTCATAGTAGCAATGAATGAAACTTTCCCCAAAATGTCTAGTTATATATACATTGTTTACACAATGGGCGCCGTGTGATTGGCTAAGTCCGGGCTGCTCCTGCAGGCCAATCAGGTCGCTGATTCACTTCCACCTGGAGCTGGATTTGGTGGCTCCTGTGGACCAATCAGACTGCTGCATTCTGGATCCTATTGTTCTAGGATTCAGCTCAGTACATAACATCAGGAAAAGGAAGGAAAGAAAGAAAAGAAAAGAAAAGAAAAGAAAAGAAAAGAAAAGAGAACAGATGTTCATTGCTCAATTATTAAACTATACACTAAGAAGTGTTTGTGACAGGCTCATTCATCAGAAAACAAGCAAATGATTGGAATGCATTAATAAAACTTGAGAGCAACAACCTTACACGTTAAATCTGTAGATACTGTAAAAAAAAAACACACCAAAAAACCCCCATACCACAACCCTGTCAGGCATCTCCAGGAGGTAGAGGTGAGGCTTAGCGAATGTGATGAGGCAACCCAAAGCAGAAAGAGAGACAGAGAGAAAGGTTGCAGTGGAGAATCTTTTGAACAAGCTGTCTTGCCTAGACTCTTGTGAAACTCTGGCAGCCTTGACCCTCCATTACTCCATCGGTTCTTTGTTTTCCTCCCTCATTCCAGCTAGACGCTGTCTATCTGCATTGTCTCACAGTTATCACTCGCTGTTTTCCTTTAGCAGAGAGCTCCTTTTAACAGCAAGTGCTGTGTGAGCCCACATATAGTGGGCTCATTCTATTGCCACCCTGGGCTCCTTCAGGAGGAAGCACAGGATATACACAGAACTAATTATAATGGGTGGAATTCAATGTCACGTTAATACAATCATTCCATCACTGCAAGCATTTTGCCTTTCCAGATGGAACAAGCTCCTCTTTCCTCCTCCGACACACTGTTCTGGGGATTCTCCCAGCCCTTTGGGAGAGGCACAGGGTGTGCATGGGTGAGAAGATGGGAGGGGGGAAAGCCCTTTTGCACTAGTGAAAGGTCCCTGTGCTGGCTTCCACTAGTGTACTGGGATAGTTCAGGGTGCCTAATCATCATCAGCAGCATCAAACCTAACCAAACAACATCAAAAGATCAATATAATGCTGCTAAAGCCCAGAGTGGGTACAAGTCAAGGTTGTCGAATCTTTACTGCTAGAACCCCAAGTATTACCAACCACAGCCAGGTGCAAAAGCCATATAGTTGGAAATAAAGGACAGGCTTCATCTGAACACACCCTGGAATGCAGAAACATGTTTTTAGCACGAGAACAGAACACAATCTTTTCACACATTCATCCACTCCCAGTTAGCTTTCTTCATTTCAGCAGCCCAATTTAGGTGGAGAAAGTCACTTTGTATGATTCGGGTTGTATCCAATGTAGCACTGAATAACTCATTCTGTTAGCACAAAGATTTAGGCTTGTGCAATGGGACTTCCTCTTCTTCTCCTGCCCCGAACCTCCTTAATCTGTTCTTAATAGAAAACATTGCAAAGTGTCATGCAACCTAAAACACAGTATTACAGTAAAAATTATTTTAAAATGTCGAGCACATCAGTAAAAGCTGTTTAGCAAAGAATCTGAGGTTTCGAAAGGCCCGTCTGAATCATACAAATTTTAGAAGACATCTAAAAACAAGCAGGGGTGACTTCTGCTGAACTTCTATTGGCAAGGAGGGGCCTGCCACACCAAACGCTAGGCCAGGGGCTGTCAATCTGGTCCCTACTGCCCACTAGTGAGCGTTTCAGGATTCTAGGTGGGTGGTACGGGCTTCTACGGCACAAGCTGAATCCTCCTTCCATCGAGCACTGGTGGGCGGTAAGGAAATTTTACCATCAAGAAAGATTCATTAGTGGGCGGTAGGTATAAAAAGGTTGACTACCCCTGGGCTAGGCTGTTGATAAGCCTATATACTTCAGCAGCAGTAGCAGCAGTAGTAGGGGTAGGTGCTATTGTTATTACTTAAACAAAGTCTCTGTCCACCATTTTAATGTGGCCTGTACAGGATGAGCATCATTCAGCAACTGTTTGAAATCACTGCATGCACCCCAGTCCAGATCGTGAACCAAACCCAATTGAAATCAAGCGGGGGCAGCTACCATTAAGACCCCTCATGTGTTTCCAAGTAATCTGTTTAGTATCATGCACAGCTTGGCCTAAGCACAAAGAGGAAGAGAAGCCTTGTCTGTGGGTCATGAAGGCACAAGTCCTTAAGAAACAAGAAACCCCATATCATACATTGGCTTCCCCCAAATAAGCAGGGGAACTATAGTTTGTTAAGGGTTCTGGGAATTGTGGCTCTGTGAGCAGTAAGCTACAATTCCCAGGATTCTTAGGGGGGAGCCATGACTGTTAAAGTGGTATAAATGTGCTTTGAATTTATGGCACATGTTTACCCATGTTGTGATGAGCAGGGAAGATCTTTGTACCTTTCCCCTGTAGTTTCTTACTTTCTTTATAAAGTTAATATGGTTGGACTGTTATGGAGGTAAAATGAAGACAGAAAAAGAAGAGGAGGAGGAAGAAGAAGAAGAAGAAGAAGAAAGGAGCTTCCCAATGACTTTAAATGTAAACATTAAGATTGTAGGCAGGTTTATTATCAGCTCTTTTCAAATACTGCACGCATGCAAGCCAGCACAGCAGAATTACATTACATGGAATATGTATTTAGAATAGTCCAGCAAAGGTGGTAGAATCTCCTTGGGACTGCTTCTGTCCACCTCCTCCCTGCTTGCCATCTGTCTGATTCAAATAGGCCAGAATTCTGATCTACATTTCTATGGAAATTATTCAATATTTTAAAACAGTAATTAAGCTAAAAATTGTATTAGCTGAGCCAAGAGCTGATGGGGTTGGCAATGTTCCTAAACCAAAAGTGCAGTTTGGAAGCTTCTGCTAGATAGCAGTGGAGACATTCCTGGCCAGGAATGCAACCTACAGTACTTACTGTGTAGGTATGTTAGTGACTTCAGACACTGGCGATACACATGGATACCGGAAGCGCAAGTTGCGTTTCCTGTATGTGCACCTATCATTGACATCTGAAGTAGGGAATTGTGATTTTGCCCAGTGAAGAAGTGCATATGCTTTAAATAATTTTAATAATAACAATTTTATTATTTATACCCTGCCCATCTGGCTGAGTTGCCCTAGGCACTTTGATGGTGGTACAGACTATGCATCGTCCAACAAAGGAGATACATGGAGTTCCCTCTTTGGACACAATCTATATGTGTGAATGCAAGAAACTTGATTGACCGGTGCTTCCTATTGACCTGCTAATTCAGCATTCATCCAGAGCTGCTTGCACAAAGTTGACATGTTGGTTAGATTATGCTTGGTTTTTACTGAGCATTTGTTCTGATTTATTTATGGAGTGGTTGTATGACCATAAATATTTACTATGCTACATTCATCATGATATGCTTGTGGGGTGTTTCCATGTCTCCCTGCTCACTCATTCTACAATGCATCTCCCCATCACTTTCCAAAGATACTTTGTTTTTAGATCAATTTGTTGTGCTGGGGTGGCAGTGCGCTTCAACCCACTTTACATTCCAGTACGTGCTTGAATCCCTCTCCTGCAAATAGTTACATTATGGAGGTACCCTTACTGCACATTACAAACATCCCAAGCTGCTCTTACTTTTACCATAGCACCAGGAAACAAGCAGCAGCACATCCCCTAGAAGTAGGTTGCTCATTTTGCAAAGTATAAATATAGTTACTTAAGAAGCCCATAGCTAAATGCAGGGTACATGTTTTACATGCAGAAGGTCCTGGGTTCAGTCTCTGGCATCTCCAGTGGTAGCAGACTATGAGAAAGACCTCTGCAGATAGGCTGTAATCGATCTCGCTTTAACAGAAAAACTCACTGAGATCTTGATGAAATAGCCTTAAATTTTAAGGCAAACGGATGTCATAGAGGCAAACTATCCCAGTGAAATCCTGTGGAGCAGAAGTTTAAGTGCCTGACTCCAGTGACTGTGTCAAGGGTAGCAGCAATAGCTAAAAATAATGTACAGTCGCCTTACACTGTGGAATAAGACATGGTTTTAAATGATTCTATTACGGAGGAGTGATACTATGGAGCATTTTGCTCCTGGCGAGAGTTGTATGGAATGGCTTGTGTGTTTAATAAAAAAGTGGGCAGAAAACCAGATGAGTTGAAAAGAGAAATATAAAATTGGTAAGCTTTTTTAGACGAACTTTCCCCCCATAATTCCTTTCTGTGTGCACAAGGGGGTGGAGAGAAAAGAGAGAGGGTGTTTGATCTTGCATGCCTCAAAGCATAGCTGTCAACCTTCCCCTTTTTTACGGGAAATTCCCTTATTCCAGCGCCGTTTCCCGCTGCTTCCCGCTGCTATCCCGGATTGTTAGATATCCCATAGACTGTTGCCGGGACAGGTGAGGCTGCTGATCCCTTATTTTTGAGGCTCCCCAGGACAGGTGAGGCTGCTGATCCCTTATTTTCGAGGCTGCTGATCCCTTATTTTCAAATCTGAAAGTTGACAGCTATGCCTCAAAGTTATCTTGACCAATCTGCACTAGATGGTTACGTCTGTCATTTTTTTAACACAGGAGATGCACACAGCACTCCTCCTGCTAAACAGTGCTGGCCAAAATGTCTGAGAGGAGCAGCTGAAAATCAAGGTGCTCCTGTTTGCACTTAGTTGACTCCCCAAACCTTCTCAAGCAAGCCACACAGCTTTGGCATTCTAATTTGGTTTCAAGTCCTTCTGCAAAATACATGTTTTGCTAATGGGCAGCATCCTGCATTGGTCCATGGATAATATCCAACATGGTCTGGTGATGGAGTCTGCTGGAAAGAGATGGGCTAAGGAACACAGGAAGTTGCCTTAAACCGAGGCAGACATTGACCCATCTAACTCATGAACAGATTATTATGGCAGTGTATGATAAAATAATTATAACGTCGTAAAATGATAAAATCATAAAATACAGGACAAATGGCCAACACGGAATCCACTTAATATTTAGGGTGCCTGTGTCATGAGTTGTGAAGTTCTACATCTGGCAGGGCATGAGATGTACTCTGTTATCTGAGATGTGTTTCAGTTTACAACAGCTATTTTCTAAAAGAACCTTGATTTAGGGAAATATTGTCAATATGAAGCCATATAAATCAAAGGGGCATAAGGGAGTGGGAAAGGAGAAAGCTAAATTGCTGAGTTTATATTACTGGGTTTAAATTACTGAGTACATGGAGTGCTTTGAATCTTTCTAAACACAAAGATGCAGCGATGTCCACCAGCTTAGATGGAAATATCAAAAGCTATTGGCCACAGTAGCTCAGGGGAACCTTCACATACAGGGGTAATGCACACTGTATTGTAGATGCAGTACTGCATTAAGCAAGAGGCTAGACTTGTTGACTTCTAAGTCCCCTTCCAGTTTTATAATTTCTGCAGTTGACAATGGTTTATATTCAAAGCAATTTAGGTTGTAATCCTAACCCCTAGTTTTGGAATAAGCCACAGTGAATTTAATGGGACTTGCTTCTGAGTAGACATGGTTAGGATTGTGTTAGCCACTCTTGCTTTCCGTTGACATAAACAGAACCGCCATGATTAAGTTTCCCCATCGCTTTCAATGGGACCAAAGTGTGACAAAACAAAGTGTGTTAGTATTTTTAGGAAATTAAAACAGATTAATGATCTGGAGAGGCATTAAAAAAAACCTTTTAAACTATAAGAAAGAGGCGAGTTTGCCTACAGCAGAAATTAGCAAGCATTAGCAAAAATATAAAATAAAAATCCCCGCTCAGCAAAAGTCTTCAGCATCTCTGTTTTGACTGAGGTTTTGAAGGGTTTAAATTATTATTAATATTATTATCATTTTAAAACAGCTCTCTCATCTTTAAGGTGCAAAATGTTGCATTTGTGCAGCACAGCATGGTTCCAATATTCAGAATGAACATAAAGGATTGGAATTACTCTGAGTAGACGCTGCATTAGCATTGCACCCTAATTAAGCTTACCTAAGCAGTGACAGTATATTTTGGTGAATTTGGAAAAAGGGAGCGCTTTGTTGTGTAATTAAGTGCAGCAGGTCAACGTGCAATGTTGGCAGTGTTATTTTCCAGCGAAAGGAGCAATGGGTGTTGTCATTGCCTGCCCAAGCATTAATTGCTCGCTGGGAAAGCAGATGAATATTGGGAATGGTTTAAGTGGTTTTGCATAAATGCTAGCAACAAGGAAATGGTTTTATGTCTTACTGGTATGCATTTTTAATAATATCAGGACTGGAGCCTGCCCATAAAGGGAGAATTGCAACAAAACCAAGAGCAATAGCGAAACAAAAACAAAAAACCCACGCTGGTTGTTTGCAAACTGACCCTTTGGGTTTCCATTTGGGAGTTTTCCAATTTATGGCTGCTGCTTTAAAATGACCCTACGTGCATACTTTTATTAACTCAACAATATGCTCACATGCAGATTTGCAGGAAAGATAGGAAACCAACAGCAAACAGCACAGACTAAAGGATCATTTCATTACATTTCTTTCCCACTTTCCTTCCATGATGGAACGAAAAAGCAGGCATGGGATTCCCAAAAAGAGTGTCCTGTGGGCACTGACCCAGCCTAGTTGCAGCAAGGGATCTACATCAGGTATCTTCAGCCATGCCCCAGGATCTGATGTACACACAACCTTAATTTTGCTAGATATTTTTATCTTGTCCTTCCTGCCCAACACATCTCCATGTTTTCCATCTGAAACTCTTAATCACCCAGGGGCAGAGGAGAAATCTGATTCAGTCAGCATTAAAAGGCAAACCTACTAAATTCACATTTTCTGAAACAATTTGTGAACCGCAACACCTCCATCCTTCAAAATTTGTACTTCTCTGAAATTTGCTGTACAGTTTTCCAGTAGGTAATGTGCACAAAATGCAAATGGTAAGGTAAAGTGTGCATTAAAAAATCCATATATTAGTGAAAATAATATCTAAACATGCATTTTACCAGGGGAAATTGCTTTGCAAAGCTGTGCATGTTGGACAAAATTACATCCAAAAATGTGTACATTAGGAGAAATTCACACAAAAATGCTTATGAATTTTCATGAGGACTTAAACACACACACACCGGCATGGAAATGTGGAGAAGTGAATTTAAGATTGGAAGAATGAGAAACTGAGAGAAGCTGAAATTGATAGATATTGGCTGGAGATTGAAGTTAGTTTAATCCTTCCTTGTGTGTTCTGGAGGTGGTATGATAGGCATTGCTGCTACCTGTGGTGTGTACCGTCCACCCACTACAGTTTTTCAGAATTTTATACCTCTTCAAATACCTACAAAAGCTGTTTGGCCAGAGGAAAAAAACGTGTGAACCAAATACAATGGTGTTTCTGTGGTGGCAAGGCCATAGCACAGTAGTGTTTCACAAATATGGTCAAGCAGGGATGATAGGACTTTTAGTTGAGTGACATTTGGAGGTTCCCTACATATGCTATAGATGTAAGGTGAGGTGCATAGGAATAGCAGGGTTAAATTCAACTGGCAGGATCAATGAGCTTAAGGAGTGTAACCTCACTGTTTATGAGAAATTCTGTAACCTTAAAGAACCTCCAACTTCAGAGCCTGGGAGAATTCTAGGTACACCTATATTTGTAGCATGACAAGAGTGACACATTGATCACATCCACACCCTCCATTTAAAGGACTCATATAACTTTAACAGTCATAGTTGCCCCCCAAGAATCATGGGAACTGTAGTTTGTTAAGGGTCCTGGGAATTTCAGCTCTGTGAGATGTCTCCTAACAACTCTCAGCACCCTTAGCAAACTAAAGTTCCCAGGATTCCTGAGGGGAAGCCACAACTTTGCTATAAGAGTGCATTAAAATAAGGTAAAAAAGGTAAAGGACCCCTGGACAGTTAAGTGCAGTCAAAGGCGACTGGGGTGCGGCACTCATCTCGCTTTAGGCCAAGGGAGCCGGCATTTGTCCACAGACAGCTTTCCAGGTCATGTGGCCAGCATGACTAAACTGATTCTGGCACAACGAGACACCATGACGGAAGCCAGAGCGCACAGAAATGCTGTTTACCTTCCTGCCGCAGCAGTACCTATTTATCTACTTGCACTGGTGTGCTTTCGAACCAGCTGGGACAGAGCAACAGGAGCTCACCACCATCATGTGGATTGGAACTGTTGACCTTCCTACTGGCAAGCCCAAGAGGCTCAGTGGTTTAGACCATAGTGCCACCCGCGCCCCCTCGGTGCATTAAATATATGGTGTGGATTAAAATGAAATATATGGTGTGGATTAAAATGAAAACAAAAGTCTCCAAGTCCAACCCAAAAAGTCAAGAAAGGATGAGAAGAATCTTTGTTGGCACTAGAACATTATTCCATTGAAGATTCAAACTGTTATGCTTTTGGCGGCTGTCAGGGGTTCAGGGACAGAGGCACAGGGTAGGCAGGAGATGGAGAGCGATGGGGATGAATCCCAGGACAGCGAGGAAGAGGATGACAATGACTCAAGAGATTCCATGAGTCTTTCCAGCGAATCAGAGGATTCCCAGAAGGGGCGCCGGTGGTCAAGGCCAGGAGCCCCAGGGGGACGTGTCAGGAGCAGGGGGCCAGCGGGGATCCCAAAGTGGCAGCTGGGCGTCAGGACCAGCCTCCCCGCCAGAGTGCAGCGAAGGGGTGGAGGTTTCAGTGTATCAGGGAAGCGGCTCCGGCAGCAGAGAAGGGAGGGAGGTCGGAGCAAGCCACCCTCCCGGAAGGGGAGGAGTAGTGAAGGGAGTAGTGTAGCTGTTAAAAGGAAGGTTAGAGGTTGGGCGCGCGCGCAGGTTCAAATGTAGAGGCGCGCGGAAGTACAGGGCGCCCGGAGGAGGGCCCCGGGCCCACAGCCCGCAGGAGGGGCGACGAGCAGTCTGGCGAGTCCGCGTCAGAGGAATCCAGGAGGGCGAAGCCCCAGCGGGCAGAAAGACCCTGCGGAAAAGGAAAGAGAGAAAGAGGTGGAGCAGCGCAAGCCTCTTAAACTGGTGCAGGGGAGGGACGGATTCAGAGGGGACTTCAGCGGTCTAAGCGTAGCAGACGTAGGGCTGCGCGCCTCGGATGTGAAGCAAACAATGAACTGCAATAAACACTTTTGTATATAAGAAGAGATAGGCGTTGGTCTTTTGTGAGCTGAGACTTGAGGCAGCCCTGACAGCGGCTATCTCAACCATTATCATTGTCACCATGATTATTGTGTTGCATTCCTTTTATGACCTGTCTTTCTTCCCAAGGGCTTATGGCTCTTCCCCTCTCCATATTATCCTCACAAGAACTCTGTGAAGTAGGTTAGGCTGAGAGTTGATGACTGGCCCAAGGTGAGCTTCATGGCTGAATGGGAAACTGAACCCTGGTTTCCCAGGTCTTCGTCTGACACCCTAATCACTACATCACACCAGTTCTCATCCAGTGTGATCTCATCTAAATCCTGACCAAAGGTACATGACTCCAGCCAGATATGCATATATCATGATCTGAACTGAAGGCTTCTTCCTCTTCTAGCTCTTTTTTTTTTACCAACACTTTTCTTTTTTAAGGGTCTTTCTTTCTCCATAGTACCAATTAGAAAGGCTTCTAAATTGAACTATAACCCTTGTAACCTAAGTTTCTTGTTGCTCCATTTTCTTAACAAATACGGGATCCTTGTCTAAGCTGATTAGTTAGATCCATTGGACAAAGTAGAGGAGATTTGCTAAAACCAACAAAATATGATAATACTTTTAGTCACAGTATTACTTTCCTGTTTCTTAATTAGAATCTATAATTTTCTCTCTTTCCAGCTTTCTTTGATTTGCTGGGTTTAACACATACCTTGTATTCTCTGCCACATAATCATCTATTTTCTATGTATTTTCTTATCATGTAGACATTGGTGAAACTAACCATTATTCTAAGTTAAAAGCTTAAATGGAATCCTTGTAGCTTTCAAGGCATGCTGAAAAGTTCTTTCTTTGAAAAGCAATTAAAGAATTAAACAAAGCAGCTTCATGATTGAAGTCATTTTTGCACACTTTGCTCATTTGCTTAGAGTTATGAAAACTGCAGTCATAGGGATAGAATTGATTACATGGGTCTTTCTCACCCAACCACTATCCACCCTCCCACTGGGATGCCAGTTGGGTGGGGGAGATTCACCTAATTGGCCCAACTTCTATGATTGTGATGGGTTGGTTTATATATAGTCACAACGGCTGGCTCTTATACAGCCTTCTTATATGTGTTGTTGTGTATATGTGTAGGGATACATATTTTATTTAGTAGTGCGCTTACAGATTCATGGAAATCACACATTTTCATATTCATTCTCATGTTCATGCCCCCCTATTATCATAAAAAACCATTTGTGTTCTTCATAATGTATTACAGAGTTTCAGTCTTCTAGATCCATGCTATACAACTTTGAGTTATGTTTACGTGTCATATCAGAAAAATCCTAACCTAAGAACCTGTGCTTCTTCTGTAGTGTGACTTAGGGGAAATTGAGACCTTTCATGTGTAATTAAGAACAATTCAGCACAATATGGACTATGTTATTTTCCAGTGTAGGATACAATGCACATTGTCATCAGCTGCACAGTATTAATTGCTAGATGGAAAAAGAGATTAATATTGTCAGTTGTTTCAAGCTGTTTTGCATAAATGCTGGCAGTAAGGAAATGGGTTTGTGCTTTATTGTTATACATTTTTAATAAAGCCAGAACTGGAGCTGGGTCATAAAGAGATGTTTCATGAAAG